TTACCTGTCGTTTATCTCGCGACCTATCGCTGACGAATGGAACAAAATAAAAAAAAAGAAAAAAAAGATAGTCGGAAGAGGAGGAGGAGAGAAGAAGAAGAAGAAGAAGAAGAAGAAGAAGAAGAAGAAGATGAGAGGGGGACGAGCGACAGGCGACTCCACGACCCTGGCGACGGGCGACGGGCGACGGGCGACGGGCGACGGGCGGCTCCACGACGACGGGGGAGTGTAGCTCCCAGGCGATGGCGACGGGCGGCTCCACGACGACGGGAGAGTGTAGCTCCTAGGCGACAACGGGCGGCTCCACGACGACGGGCGGCTGAGCCACGAACTTCGGTGGCTGGGGAAAACCAAGGCCCCGTTTGGACAGCCAATGCAGGCCGCCCCAGCCAGTCGGCTGTTCAAACGGGTCCTCGTTTTCCCTCCAAAAATCAAACGGCCCTCTGGCTGTCGATCATGGATGATCGACGGCCGGAGGGCCGTCACAATTTCAAAAAAAAAAGCTGGCCTCAAGGGCCCGACGCGCCGTTTTTTTGGCCTGGTCGGACCCGGGCCCTGGGGACGCCAGAACATGGCGATTCGGGGTCTGAGCCCCCCCCTCAACAAGGTGTGCTGAGGGTGCCCGGCCCCCAACTGGGCTGCCCGCCCGGCCAGGCCGCCCGGGACCTCCCCCGGGCAGGCGCTGGTCGGCCGGGCGGCCCGGTTCCGTACTCAGTGTATGCTTCCTTACTTACTCCCAGAGGAAAATGACAAACAGACGCTTTCAAGTCCATCTACTTCTCCTTATTGAGTATTTCTTCTTTTTATAATTTTTTCTGTCAGCCTTGTGAAGGAGCCATGCTAATCTTCTCTGTATCGTTCCAATCTTAACAGACATTTTTTCCGAAGGACTCTCCTTATTGTTTCTTGCTCTTGCCTTTTGTAAATCATCACCATCCACTCATCTTCAACTCGTCTTTGTCCTGCTGAAGGAGGTTTGAGCTGGAAAGTAACTCCTAACAAGATTCGCTTTCACAGTGCCGTGCCCTGTTGTGTCATTCGAAGTCAATTTACGTCAATTCATGCTGTGTTGTCATCATTACATGTCATCTCTTTTTTCTCCCCTTTTGCTCGTTCTGTAATGAACCCAGTCTCGTTGAGGAGCCACTCAGAAATGCGATAGAAGACTGAACCCAGCGCACCTCATGGAGTCTCCAAAATCAATTACAAGTCCATGTCTCGATAGGAAAGGCAGAGAAGAGGAGGAGGAGAGACTCGATAGTAATCAATAGTACATGTCTCTCTCTCTCTCTCTCTCTCTCTCTCTCTCTCTCTCTCTCTCTCTCTCTCTCTCTCTCTCTCTCTCTCTCTCTCTCTC